GAGGTTAAATGGAGAATTTAGAAATTCTGAAGTTAAAGATACCTTTAACTCAGTTATGCAGATAACTCCTATGATATTGGTGTAAAGGAGCAGGCCAAACTTCCATTGGCTAGTTCATTACTGCATCAAGTCTCCATCAAATTCTCTTATGCTTCAACAGTCTAGGACAAATCTGTCTTTATTTTTGCAGTACTATTTTGGTGATCACAATCTACCAAGAGACAAGTTCCTAAAGGAGCAGGTCAAACTGGATGATGGCTGGGTGCCTTTAGAAATAATGATCAAATTTAACAGGTAAAACAAAGTGCAAGTAACCTTTTGTGGCTGGGTGCCTTCCAAATAACCATATTGTCTGAATTAGGGGCCACATGTTCTCACTCTGTATGTACAACTCAAATCATAATTGAGTAATGCTAGGGATGGGGTATGTGGCCCTGTTTGATATACTGTGTTATTTCTCCATAGGTTAAGCAGTCTCTCAAAAGACTTCAATGTTATAGTAGAAGCACTGAGAAAATCTAAAGCTGGACTTATGGAAATAAGTGAAGACAAAACTAAAATCAGAAGATCTCCAAGTAAACCCCTCCCTGAAGTGAATGATCAGTATAAAAATGCAATTAAAAACAGATCTGTATATATTGTAAGCTTTCATACTTTACTGCATTACTTTCAGTTTTATTACTTAAAAAGCTTTAACCCAAATGAAATTCTGATTCTATTGCTTAGTTTTATTTTAATATAAAATGAGGTGTGGCAAAAGTTTTAAGTAACTGATTTGTACTTTCAGTCACCATACCGGTTTGTAATGATACTTTCTTTAATGGAAATGTCATAGGTTCTGTTTCATGTAATTATTGGAAGTTCAATATTACTTTGCAGAAAGGCTTTCCAACAGATGCAACACTTGACGATATCAAAGAATGGCTAGAAGGTAAAGGCTCAGTAGAAAACATTCAAATGAGGAGAACACTGAGTAAAACATTCAAGGTAATTGTATATCACAATAACTGATGCTTTGCTAGCTATGAAAAACAGGCTACTAGAGAACATTCCATTAATCTATTTAATTCTGAATATTCCCCAATTATTCAATAGGGATCAATTTTTGCAGTATTTGATAGTGTTGAATCTGCTAAGAAGTTCACAGAGATACCAAACCAAAAGTACAAAGACACAGAGCTGATTGTGCTTTTCAAGTAAGTCAACTTCGCTTATGTTTGAACAGATGCCTGCATTGCCATACAGGTCTCCAATACTGCTTGATTTGTGCAGGCTTTGCTGTTCCTTTGGAATAGTTTCTAATTATAAAGATGTTCTAGGGCTAGAAGTTTCTTTGGCTACTACCATCTTCTCTTTTAATAAAATAAAGGCTTTTTTAATAGGCTGCATTAACTTAATTTATACCTCTATTGAAGGGAGGAGTACTTTGCAAAGAAGAATGAAGAGAGGAAACAAAACAAAGTAGAGGCTAAAGCAAAGGCAAAACAGTAAGCTAGGCTCTTGTTTAATTAATGAAGCACCTTGCCTTATTTAGTTAATTATATTCTAACCAACTGTGATCTGAACTTTTACAGGGAGAAAGAAGAAAAACAGAAGCAAGCAGAAGATGCTGAAATGGTATGTACCTCTTGAATGGTCTGGAAGGGTAGAATAAACAAGGTTACAATGAATCTGCTTTGGTAATTGTCAAGTCTGTTTTGATACTGTGTGCTTTCATAGACCTGATAAGTACTAAAGCTACTTCTGCCCTACTGTGTTTTTATATTAACCCTGTGTTCTAACATAGTTATAGGAGGGTGCCAAACATTGCCCAAAATGTGAACACTCAGCTTGGAGTACCACTCTGCCTCCATAATCAAATCTGACCTCCCACCCAGAAGCACATCATATTTTTTCTTAAGGCCTAATTTTATCAATTTATTACAAGATGTTAATTTGCTTTCTACTGTGTAGAACAAATGTCACTGTACATGATTCCACAATTAGCACTGAATGGCTGGGTAATATCCCATATATGAAGAAACAAGATGGGTGGGAGGGAGAATGGCAGGGATGAGCACTTTTAGTGGTACTGACCATCTAAGTGCATAGGTTCACAAACTGGGGTTGTAGCCCACAGGGCTAGTGGCACATGGGTGTCAAGGGTTGTGAATATCCTATGGAGAGTCAGGAAAGGGGGGTTATAAAACTTTGTGACATTGCTTTTTTCAGTCTTTTCCAGACTGACAATGCCATGCAAGACTTCTAGAAACTTTTTTGTGCTTGGAGGTGCTTTGGTGTAAAAGTATGAGATATTTTGCCTACTGGCAATACAAGTGGATCCATGTCACTTGATCTCTTATCAGTTGCTGCAATCTTTTTAACACTATCTCCTTAATACAGCTCCCTGAAACTCTGCACTTCAGTGCAAATCTCAAATTCTAGCTGCCTTATTTTTAAAAAAAAAAAGTTCTCTTGTATTTAGAAATCACTGGATGAAAAGACAGGATGCTTGCTGAAATTCTCTGGTGACCTAGAAGATCAGACTTGCAGAGAAGATCTTCATGCAGTTTTCTCTGACCATGGAGAAATTAAATGGATAGACTTTGTCAGAGGGGCAAAAGAGGTCAGAAGGCTCTCAGATGAGATGTTACTTTTGTCTTATGTGAAATTTGTCTGTTATCTGAATGCTGCTTAAGTGTCTGTCTGATGGTTAACTTAGCAATGGTATACTACACCTTCCATTGGGGACTTACGGAATGCAGAATATGATAGTGCTGAAGAGATCAATTAGTTTATTTCTTCAGCTTTCTAACGTAACCGCTATTAGAAAGCGGTCTGAGTAAAAGGTAAAAGCATTAATGTGACTCTCCTCCTGCAGAGTTACACTTAGACTTTGGCTAAAATGAGGACATGCTAACCTAGAGCCACAGAGGGGAGTGCATATTGATCGCTATGGGAGTTTGCATAAAACATAAAGGCTAGACTAAAGATCTCAATTAAACAAACCAGTTATTAAATGCAACATCACTGATTGCTGGGAGAGTAGAGAATTATGCAGAGCAAACCTTGGCCTTTTTCTTATTCAACTGTCTATGTGCATAGCTATGCATGTCACTGTCCATATGAAGTGCACATGTAGTTATCTGGGGGCTGGAATTTTTAGGCTGAAATGTTAAATTGACATGAATTGTGGGTCAGTTAATACTCAAGTCTGAAAATGATGAAGCACTAAAGCTGTTAATATGTAGGTTATCTTCAAAACCATATGGGCTAGAAATTTATTCTAAATGAGTTTGCAAATTGTAGCATCTGAATCTGGCAGGAGACCTGGGGGTACCTGACACTCCAGCTGCAGTCATATTAATGCTTTTGCACTGGCAAGACTCCATAATGCAAAGGGTGCTTGTTTCTGTCTTTAGGGGATTATCCTATTTAAGGATAATGCAAAAGAAGCACTGGATAAAGCCAAAGAAGCAAATAATGGGAACTTACAGTTGCGCAACAAAGATGTCATATGGGAGGTGCTGGAAGGAGATGCAGAGAAAGAAGCATTGAAAAAAATCATGGAGGGTCAGCAAGAATCATTAAACAAATGGAAAGCAAAAGGTGAATTTTCCCCCTGACTAATCTGAATACCACTTGGATAACTTTCGTGGAAGTTCTATTATGTTAAAGTGAACTTGTCAGATAGTGCATTCACTGAGTTGTATGATTTTAGATTAGTAAATGACTAATGCATGGTTCTTAAAAGGTCTTGAACTATCTTGTACATCTTAACAGGTCGCAAATTTAAAGGTAAAGGAAGAGGTGGCAAAGTACCCCAGGGCTCGCAGAACAAAGGGAAAGTACAGTTCCAAGGCAAGAAAACAAAATTTGAGAGTGAGGATGAAGAGGGTGAAGAGAACACTAAAACAGGTAAGCTATTTTGTGCCTGAGATGGAGTAGTTCACGTGCTGCTTGGAAGCAACCCTTTGAAAGAATGTCTGTGTGTATATAGAGATAAGACTGAACAAATAGTTGCTTCTTGTATTTTCTAGAAACTGGTCAAGTTGGTTTATCGTATGCTATTAAAGTTTTTGTTCCCTCCCAGGCCAGTTTTCCTGTTCATTCAAATTTTAGTCATGTTCACAGGGACACTTAACTGATGCCTTTGTGGAGGTCTGTCAAATTAAGGACTGACCTGTACAGAAACTGACCTATTTCTCTGCAGAGTTGAGCATTTACAGGGCAATACAAAGCAGTTTTCACTGAAGAGATACTGTCATTAGTCCTACGTTTTCTTAGCTCTACACAGCTGTCACAGTAAATTAATCATTCATATTTTTCCAAGTAAATGAATGCCCTTACCACAGTATGGTAGAAGAAAACCTTTGTCTGTTAGCTGTGGCCTAGAGCAGTGGTTCTTAACTCTTCCATACTGTGGGCTGTCTTCCCTTCCTGTTGAGATTTGGTGCCTGACTAAAGGAAAAATATGGTATCTTCCACTGTTGTTTTGAAGTGTTGTGGTATCTGTGCTGGTCCCAGGATACTAGAGAGATGAGGTGGGTGAGGTAATATCCAACTTCTGTTGATCCAATAAAAGATACCACCTCACCTACCTTGTCTATCTCAATGACCAATACTATTACTGTTTTTCAGACTGGAAAAATTCTGGTGCTCCTGTTTAGTTAATTCCCCCTCCTATGTGGTCCAAAGCCTCTGGACACAAGTTATGAATAGGTGATTCATCATTGTTACATAGTAGCTGTGGATCACCTGGAATTGTTCCATAGGCAATATGCGAAGTACTAATTTCAAGGCAACCTGTTCATATGTAGCAGCCTGCAAGATTGTATGTCTTGAGCTGGATAGGAATAGTCTTGAAAGTAATATCAAACTTCCACTAGTCCCATAAGTGTCTGCCTATATTAACTCTTACAGGGCCAGCAAGTCCCAAGAAAAGACCACTAGAAGAGACTGAAAAAGAAGAACCTGCATCAAAACAGCTGAAAACAGAAAATGGAGCTGGAGATCAGTAATAGTGTTTAAAAAAGCATTGAGTTTTTATTAATCCATTTTAAATAGGTTTTAAGCCAATCCTCAGTTTGGAAGTTTTTCAGAGGAGAACCTTATTAAATCCACTTCAATATCCACCTGTAATGAAAGGAAAGCTTTTTTTATTTTGTGAAGTTTTTTTTTTTTTTTTTTTCCTCAGACGCATGCTTACCTTAATATGCCAACTTGGATATTTTTTTATATTTATAGTTTTGCTTATACTGTCAGATCCTCTCAGTATTTCTGGCATTTGAGTCAAATGTATAAAGGGAGGGTCTATTCCTGAATCTGACTGTAATTTTGAAGTTGTATGAAAAACACCAATAAAATTCCGTATTTAAAAATCATGGACCATTGAATGCTAGCTTCAAACTTATTAATGTTAGTGGACAAAACTCTGTCAAAGCTCATATGTGCACACTACTTGGTCTATAAATATGCTAATCAGGAAAAAGTTTGATTAAGGATAGCTTCAGTGGGATAAAACTCTTATAGTCCCTCACTGTGGAGAAGAAGATATCTAGCCAAATGCAACTCCAAGTGGTACATACATAATCAAAAGTGCCCTTTATGCTACAATTTTTGGTCTCGGACTCTGCCTTCATGTTACACCTACTCTCATCTAAGCCTTGCAGCTTATTTCCAGGTAACTGCTGGTCTTTCTGATCAGACTCTTATCCAGGTCCTCCTCTCTGTGACACTACTGACCCTTCCCCTTTAACCTTCTTGGCATCCACCTTGCTCCCCTTGGATCCACTCTAAATGCAGCTTGTTCTAACCAGGTGGTCATCTCCTCTCCTTCCAAAAAAAACCCCAACAAACCCAAAACACATACTGCTTCCACTATGTGAAATACAAAGTTTTGGTCCTTAATCATAACTCAACCACTTCCTCATACACCTCTACCCTGATATAACACACATTCGGATATAATGCAGTAAAGCAGCGCTCCGGGGGGCGGGGCTGCACGCTCCAGTGGATCAAAGCAAGTTCGATATAACGCGGTTTCACCTATAACGTGGTAAGTTTTTTTTTTTTTATTTTTTTTATTTTTTTGGCTCCCGAGGACAGTGTTATATCGGGGTAGAGGTGTATATGTTACATCACCTATTGCTGCTTCTGTTGTCTCCTACTCTGCCATCACTTAATTACCTGCTCCCACCAGCTCTTGATTGCTTTTGGCCATGCTGCCCTTATGCATGGTACACCCTCACACTAGTCCAAAGCCATGACCCTTCCTTTAAGAGTAAAATCCTGGTCCCTTCTGAAGTCAAATGGAATTCTGCTGTTCCAGTCAATGGGGGCAGGAGTTCACCCCAGTCAACTATTAGGTGGGAGCAAGTAGAGTTTAGACACTACATTTATTTGATACATAGAAACATGATCTGATAGCCTCTTGCACCCACTTGCTAAGCCTTAATTAGATTAATTCAGGGCCTTAGTGTGGTGGGCCTTAGTGTGGTAAGCCATAGGCAAGATCTGAGCCTAAATGCTATGCAATACAAACACAATCCTACAATAGAATTCTTTATGCTAGAGGTACTAACTACAGTGGTCTCAACACATCTAGAAGAGGGTTAGAGACAACTTAAATTTTCTGGAATGTTTCTACTCCACCAACTTCAATTAGACCCTAACTTGCTCTGTAGCAAAGCACATGACATCAATCCTGAAACCAAATGTGCAAATGAGTTTGGTAACAATACTAAATTGAGTCACAAGTGCAGCTCTAACCCCTTTGTAGAGTGTCCAGCACATGATTAGGCACTACTGCAATGCAAGTTAAACTGAATTCAGACTTTAGTCTTAAACTATTAGCCAATTACCTCTAAATTTCAGATACAATTTCATAATTTAATATGGGATAAGGAAAATACTTACAGACGACTTCTTATGAAACTTGTATGATGCTGGTAAGTCATATCTAAGTTCTGTGAAGAGTACAGAGAACACCTGTCATACTAAAATCACTTAGTTGCTCAGTGGTGTTAGACAAACTGTACTATATTCCTTGATCACTTTTTTGTTGCCAGCAACTTGACTAAAACTATTTGGCTTTACATTTATTTGGTCTCCGTCTGCCTGTTCTTGAGCTCTGGCCTGATTAGTGAATGCACATAATACCAGAACAGACATTTTCATATTAGCAAGTTTGTTTCTAGAAGGAAATTGCTACTAGATAATCATCACAAAAAGAGTGTGACAATGAAGGAACTCTGCATTCTACTGCTGTATAAACATTGCATTATGTCTTTTTTCCCCCCCGATATTCTTCACTCCTATGCCATTAAAGTAGGGCACAAGTCTTGAAATAGCCACCAAAATTTGGAGATCAGAAAAACTGACCGCTCAAATTGAGGACTAAGGGAATGCAGGAGCAGGGAAAGGTAAAACTTGTTGACAATGCTTTGAGATGGGGTCTGCTGTCTTCTCCAATGACAGAACTGCTCCTATTTCAATACTAAATCTTGTCCAGTTAAGAGAATTGGTGCAACTTTTGAGAAGTTTTTCCTGACTATATCCAGAATATTTGCTTTACTTTCTGATCAACTGGGACATCTTTCATCATTAGAAGTGTTTTGTCCTGGGACCAGAAGAACCTACAAAACTTCCTATTTCATAGTTTAGACCTCTTTATCACTTGCTCCTTGTAGTTTGGTGGGAGGTAAAACAATCTACCAGTTTTTTATCCCAATGGATCATATTTTTAAACTAGCTCCTAGTGCTACATCTGAATAGTAGCTGGTCCTGGAGGCTATTACCCACTAACAGTGCATTTTTTAAAAAACATGTATGTACAAGATATTACCTGCTATAACTTCCATCTTCACTTTCCATTCATCTGCTTTCTTTTGAATATGCTGAACATAAGAAAATAGTCCATGAACTTAGTTCCAATTAGTTTATGGCATTTTGAGGAAACCCCATTAAAATAGTAACTAAGATATTTTATACTTTAAGTGTACTTGAGTTTTGAGTTGAAGTATTAATCTGTCTGACATTTGCAGTCTCCTGCATCAAGGCTAGTGTTCTACCTTGTCATTTTCATACCCATTAATTATTAAGGCTCCAAAGACAGAACTCCAACCGGAGTCTATTTTAAAGGTGGGTGTGTGTATATATACCCACTCAAGTATTAAGCACTATAAATTAAGTATCTTAGTTTTCAAACACCCAAGGCACAGGTATTCATCTTGGCTCCTGAATCCATATTTGATCTTACAAAAGTAGTGGAAGATTAGAGTGCTACTTACACCTGCTTAATGCTTAACCGGCTGAAGTCAAGGACTTACTTTTCGTGTTGAAGTTTTGTGTAGGGAATATACAGCTGTTTGTGCCATTTGCAAAGCTACCTTCAGAAAAGTCATATCCATTCCTGTAAGAAGAGGACCCAAGCTGCTGTTAAAGCCTTATTTGTCTGCATTTAAAGTCTTAACTTCTTTAATTTCATGCTTAGGTGTCCTCATTTTTTTAACCCTAATAATTGCAGTTATGCTTGCTAGCCTGTACATTTTGAAAAGCAGTGTTGAGTACATTATGGCACTGAAGAGAGGGTGTATATTTCCATATTTTTCCTAACTGGTGTCTAGCATAGGTGTAGATAAGTTTAATTGTAATAGCAATATACAAAAGAACTACTAGTTCAACTAGTTATTAAAGGCCAATTATTGTAAAACTTTAACACCATTTGCTGAAAAGTAGGAATATTTTAATTGCTTTTTAGAATTACCAACCTTTATTATGCTTGGTCCCAAAAGGAGGATTCATAATTACTGTGTCAAAAGTTTTTGATCTGGCAGCTAAAGAACATACATCGCACTGAATCATGTCAATAGTTGTGAGGTCAAACTCTTCTGCATTTCTACTAAATATTTCCAGGGCATCTGCATCTATGTCAAACCCCACACACAACCTGGAAAATGGAAAACAACCATCAACAAACTGCAGTATTTTTACTTTTAAAAGATGTGGTACATTTTCTTTTCAGAATGCACATTTCTAAACACAGTCAAGTTTGTTCCTGCTGTAAAGTTCTGAGAGATGTGCCTAAAGCAGAACAGTGATATATTTTAGAAGTAAATTACTAATAAAGGCATGTAAGTGGTGAAGATTTTTATTTTTCTCAATTTCTGAACAGGATATGAACAGTTTGGAGAAAAATATTTTCTAAATTATGAAGATGTTTCTAATAAATAATTCTCTATTTTAAATATAGAGCAAGTGCCCCTGTTACTTGTCATTATTTGCATGTTCATACAGTGGCTAGATCTACTAAAATGTGTGGTTGTGCACTCATTTTTAGTTACCTAAATTAAGTACAGTCTAGTATTGGTCATGTTCTTAATCTTCTCATTTAGTTCTATACTGGGAAAGAAACAAAGAGAACTTGAGTGTTAAACACCTACCCTGCTCCTAACATTACACTTCCGATGCTGAGTACACCACAACCACATCCTAGATCTGCAACCACCTTGTTTTCAATATCATCAAAAGTGTTGTGAATTGTATAAAGCATACATGCTGAAAAATAAGAGATTATAGGATAAGAACAAATAGGCATTGTCTTTCCGAAAGCTTTGAGGCAGATTTCAAAATTAAGCAAGGAGACACAGGCTATGGTAGATTATACAGGAACCAAGCTGTACACAAACCTAGTGATCCCAGTAAAATGCACATCCTGGTTTATGTATGGAAACAAAAATTGAAGAGTAAGAAAGAATCCAGCTCATTGGTCTTGCATGTTGGTCTCATACGTACAGTGCTGTATTCATTGTAATTATGGAAGGTGCACAAGGAAATTTTGTTTGTGATGGTCCTACAGGGGAAATGGTACACCTCTACCTCGATATAACGCTGTCCTCGGGAGCCAAAAAATCTTACCACGTTATAGGTGAAACTGTGTTATATTGAACTTGCTTTGATCCACCGGAGTGCGCACTGCGCCCTCCCCCAGCACTGCTTTACCGTGTTCTATCCAAATTCGTGTTATATGGAGGTAGCGGTGTATTTTATAATTACTCAGATTGAAAGATCAATATTAAAACTAAGAGCCGTGTTTCTATGTGTTCTTAATACCTGACGCAAACAGACAGTTCTTATCAGTACAAAACAAAGTTTTCTGCAACCCACATCCTTAACTTTAAAATCCATTTATTAGATTTAATTGTTTGAGATATTAGAGACATTTACTAAAACACATGCATTAGTTTCTCTTTAAGCAATCTCTGGCAATAATGCAAAAGTCTCTAATGAATTTATTACACTCAGGATACACACAAAATAAACAGCAGATTTTTTTTAGTTTAAGAATTGATCCAATGTTGGCAACAGAAAAGTGAGACTCTACAACAATTTTATGTTTAATCTCTACCTGCAATGTGTGGTCTTGTTGGATACTGTTCAAGAAGTAATTTTGGATTCTCAAAATCATCGACTTGCTGAAGACGGCTTTCTAGCTCCTTAAGTTTTAACTTCTTCATGTTTGTATTCTCAACTAAAAAAAAAAAAAATTAGTTTATAACCAGGCATAGGTTTGCACTATTAAAATTGTTCTTATAGTTATACATAAAATACAAAAACTTCTAAAAACTCATTAAAAATAAACATACATTAAAAAAAACCACATCCTGTTTCTCAAACTTATCTTTTATGGCTATGGCATACCAAGTGTAACTTAGATCATATAGTTGGCAAAAAACAAAACCAATCCCCCTACATTCCTGTTTGGCTAATGAACACACTCAAGTATTAACTTCAATGGCAGCTGCAGATGTTCAGTGCCTGCATAGGCCCCATAGCTAATGCTATGTCTGCAAATCTAGCTGAAAAAGTCATGTAAATATGATGTATCTGCAAGTTGACTCCCTTTTCTATCACTTAGCAATTTATCCCAAAACCAAAATTGAGTGCTGTGAGGATTAATTAGTTAATGCTAGTAAGTGACTTGGATTAAATAAAGTTATATATAAATATTAACTATAATAATACTGAGGTTAATTAAAAAAAATTGGTCTTGATCTGAAGCAGGTTTTCTGCTTCCTCACCTGTCTGAGGAGCCAGAAAAATGAATCCTCCCCCTCCCCTTCTGGGGCCCTAGGGGGTCACCTCCTTCTAGGACTACCACCACTGAACTCTATCCACACACACACATCACATCAGATCTCCCCTATCCACACACATCAGGAGCGCTCCCTAGCCACTGAAGTGGATTACCATCGCCTACCCACTGGGATCACTGCCACAACCTCATCACCACGCACAAACGAAGGCCCCTCACCTTCCCGTAGCGAGCGGAGCCTCACAGCGGGGCAGAGGGCTGCTGTGAGCTGTGCTGCTGATTTCCTTCGCTGCAAAGCATGCAGGGCAGGGCGCTCCTGTCCTGGGGCTGCCTCCTGCGTCTTTGCACAATGCCTATTCCCGGCCGCCCCACACGCAGCCCAGGCTCGGAGACCGCCAAGCAACTGCCGCAGACCCCACCACCCCAAGCACCTACTTCAGCGCACCTCAGCCTCTCTCCACACAGTGCAGCAGTTTAACCCGTCCCCCATGCACGCACATAAGAAACTGAGACGAGCACTGTCAGTTCCCGTTCAGTCCACCCAGGTACTAGCAGCGTTGTACCCTGCCCAGGGCACCTTTCCTTTCCTGCTTTCTTGTATGCAGTGTTGTTGTAGTCCTGTTTGTGTCCTGGGTAGGGTGACCAGACAGCAAGTGTGAAAAATCATGACGGGGTCCAGGGTAATAGACATCTATATAAGAAAAAGCCCCAAATATTGGGACTGTCCCTATAAAATCAGGAAATCTGGTCACCCTAGTCCCAGGATATTAGAGAGACAAGATGGGTGAGATAATATCTTTTATTGGACCAACTTCTGTTGGCTCCAGAGACAAACTTTGGAGCCCTTGAATGGTTCCTTGAAATATGTGTTAAGTACTTACTCGAACCCAGTAGTTCTCAAGCTTCTGTATTGGTGACTCCTTGCACACAGCAAGCCCGAGTGCAACTTCCCTTATAAATTAAAAACACATTTTTTATATTTAACTCTAAATAAATGCTGGAGGCAAAGTTGGGTTTGGGGTGGAGGCTGACAACCCCTACATAATAACCTCCTGATATCGGAGGGATCAACCCCCAGTTTGAGAACCCCTGTGCTAACCACTCTGTTCCTCCTGTATTTAGCTGACACTGTGAGTACATTTCCCAGATCTGAAGAGGAGCACTCTGTGTAAGCACCATAGCTTGTCACTCTCACCAACGCAAGTTGTCCCAATAAAAGATATTACCTCACCCACCTTATCTTCCCTGCTTTGCTCCTTCTAGACACAGCAGAAAGAAATGGAAGAGTTCACCCTGTGATGGCAGATGGAGAGGAACACTCTCCTCTGCTGGTTTGTCCTCTCTTAGCTGAATTGAAATTGGGCTTTGTGAAGGATACGTGATAACCACTCTTTAAGGATACACACACAGAAAGGCAGATAATGCATCTGTAATTGAGTACATATTCTTGCAAATACTTATTTGTGGGAGTTAAATACATGAAGATACTATTTTTTTCATTATTTTTCCAGCAAAGTGCAAATGTTCAATGTTTTGCAAAACACTTGCAGGTACAGCTTTCTCTTTGTCCAACAGTTTAGTGACCAATAAATGTCTGCAACAAAATTCTAGTTCCAGTATTTCAAAGCAGTGACTCAAGAGCTATTAGGTAGATTTGAATTCCTCCCAGGTCACCATTTCCCTAGCAACCATCTCTTTATTTCATATCATGGCCGTTGCTTAGCACCAGATTTTAGTGACCAAAACATTGGCAGCTCCTTTGTCTATTAGAAAGACTGTCATCTTTTAATAGATTGGATTTAAATGTTTTTACACTCATTTGCCATTCCTTCCTAGAATTCTGAGGAAAAAATATCATGCTGATTGCACATTATTCCTTGGGTTTTATGTTCCTAATGTATCAAAATACAAGACCCAGTAGTTTACTTTATTGATGGAGTATGCCAGCAGAAAAGTTAGAGAAACAAGTGATATCTTCTAGTATCTTTTTCAGCTCTGTGACACTCTCAGGCTAGGTCTACACTACCCGCCTGAATCGGCGGGTAGAAATCGACCTCTCGAGGATCGAATTATCGCGTCCCGTTGGGATGCGACAATCGATCCCCGAATCAACGCTCTTACTCCACCAGCGGAGGTGGGAGTAAGCGCCGTCGACGGGAAGCCGTGGAGGTCGATTTTGCCACTGTCCTTACAGCGGGGTAAGTTGGCTGCGATACGTCGAATTCAGCTACGCTATTCACGTAGCTGAATTTGCGTATCTTAAATCGACCCCCCCCCTGTAGTGAGGACGTAGCCTTAGTTCCTTGCCCAGACCTGAAGAAGAGCCATGTGTAGCTTGAAAGCTTGTCTCTTTCACTGACAGAAGATGGTCCAATAAAAGATATTACCTCACCCACCACCTCTAATATCCTAGAACCAACACAGCTACAACACTGCAAGCAGAGAAGCGGACAGCCCTAGGAATAATGATGTTGCAAAACCAGCAGAGGGAGTATCCACCTTGTTAGGTTTTGTTTATTTGTTTTGTTTATTTGGCAGGCCAAATAAAATGTAGGTCTATTTTTGTTAAGGCAACCATGTTTTTTAAAAAATTTGTCATCGCTCAATAGTAAATTTAATTAGAGCTAATATTACTTCAAAAGTATTATAGCCAACAGTTGTAAATTTAAAAATATTATAATCCTGACAACTCTCCCCCTTAATTTGTAACAATGTAGATTCCTGTTCCTGCAGTCTACAGTGCAGAGCCCCACAGGGATACATTGCAGGATTGGCACCTTTGGCTGCTTACATTTGATTTGTGGTTTCATTTACTTAATAGTAACAGTATTCCTTTATTCTTTATTTTATTTTTAAGAGCCTAAAAATGCTAGCAATCTCACATAAACAAGTAGAGGCATAAATCCAGCCTTTATCATTTTAATGGGATTACTCATGTGAGTAGACCCATGCACAAGTGTTCGCAGGTTTGTGGCTTTATTGTTCACTTTTTGTTCACTCTTAACATTTCATTCAATGTGGACAATGAAAATACGTTAGCCAGTTTCACTTTTGTTTCTAGTCATTTTCTTCTTTCTGCTTCCCAGTCAGGGCCCAGATCCTGCAAGTTTATACTGTACACAGATTCATCCCTAGGGATGAACTTGCATATTAAGGGCCCCATTCAGCAATCACAATAGTGCAATGTTTAAAGCCAAACAAAATCTTTTTTTACTTTAAAATTAAAAATAATTAAAATATTTCTATTAGTATAGGTTTGTATAACCTTTCTAGAAATATTGTGTTTCTCCATACAGTGGCACAATGCAGTTGATACAACTATCGCAAGTGACCAGTATATATTTAAGTTTGGATGGGCTAGGAGCCCATAGAGGAGACAATATTATGATCATTTTGGTCAAAACTTGTATCCATTATTTTTTCTTAAACAAACGATTACAGTGAAACGTGCACAAGACACCTAAGCAACCTTCTGACTTAGGCGCCTATCTCACAATATCACTGAAACCAGGGTTCACCTTATTTTGCGATGAGAGGCGCTGTAAATACCATGCCAAACATGAGGATGGGGCTAAAGGACACGACAAGGTCCCTCTTTAAAAGTTCCTGGGAAGTTACCTCCGTGGGTAGCATCTGCCTAGGACGTGCTCATCAGTGCAGGGTGGTGCCTGAGAAAGGCGGGCGGCGGCGGCCCAAGACAGGGCCCGGGAGGAAGAGGAGGGACAATGTCAGGAGGAGGCCGACGCGGGGCGGGGGCAGCGGGCGTCTTGCGGCGGGCACGGTGCCGGCTCCCAGGCTATCGCGAGAGAGGCGCCGCTAGGAGGGGAGAGAGGGCGGGGGTTGGAAGCCCCAGAGCCGGGAGCCCGGCGCAGCCGTAGCGGCTCCAGCGTCCCGGGTTCCCAGGACTCATCATGGCGGGGGCCGGTGCGAGCGGCCGGGAGAAGCGGGCCATGGCGGCGAGGCTGAAGGCGGCCCTGAGCGGCGGTGGCGGGGAGAGCGGGGCGGCCGCGGAGCTGCAGGCGTTGCTGGAGCGGGCGCTGGCCCCGGCCCCGGGCGGTGGGGAGGCGGCGGCCGAGGCGCTGGAGTGGTGCCGCTGCCTGCTGTCGGGCGGGGAGCCCTGGGAGGGCTTCGTGCAGGCGGTGCGGGCCTACGACCCGGCCACGCTCTGCGGCCTGGTGTGGACGGCCAACTTCGTGGCCTATCGCTGCCGGACGTGCGGCATCTCGCCCTGCATGAGCCTGTGCGCCGAGTGCTTCCACCAGGGCGAGCACGCCGGGCACGACTACAACATGTTCCGGAGCCAGGCAGGGGGCGCCTGCGACTGCGGCGACGGCAACGTCATGCGGGAGGCCGGGTGAGCGCCGGGAGGGGAGTGGGGCGATGGGGCCTGAGGCTGAGGGCTGGCACCTGCAGTTGATGCCCTAGTGGGTGGGCCTAGGACTGCAGGTGAGTCGTTAGCCGGCTCCTAAGGGAAGAGGTGGCACAGCTGGTGGGAATCGCTTTTTGGGGGGAGGGTCAGGCTGGTGCAGTGATGTGCTGCTAGTATTTAAACAGCGGGCTCACGCAGAAATGTCATCTGTTAGCTTGTGATGGGCTCTGTGACCAAGGTGCCTGTGTCGCAAAGGGGAGGCCAGAGAACTGTGGGAATGTATTCATCTGTTTTCCCCTTTAAACCAAAATCCTTTCTCATGCTTGGGGAGGTAGGGAGTGCCAGGAAAGTAACCACAAAAATGGCTTTGTGGGTTCCATGCTTATTGTGTATCCGTGAATCTGTGTCACATGTGCTCTGTGTACAAGTAAAAAGGTGCATTTTTTAATAACATTGTCAGCCCTGCAAAATTGATCGGAGAGTCAAGCTGGGTTCTTTTCGTCTCATGCCCCATCCCATCATCAGCAATATAGGTTTTGCAGGCTAAATTCTTCCTCTAGTGGCAATAAGTGCCCAATTGTACAGGGACAGTTGTACAAACCCATTGCTTTCTGGTCTTGCTAAGGTGTAACTGGCACTGTACATGGAAATTAGTAATGAGTCTGATAATGCACAAAAAGAAATAAAATTAAACTCCATGATAGCTGTGTTTGTTGAACAGAACCAAACAAGACAAAAAATGTCAAAATATTTTGTCAGTAGGTATGATGAGATACACAGAGATCAGCTAAGAGTGCCATTTTGACATACTTTATTTTGAGATTATCTTACCCTTCAGTCTGAATGCTGTTCATAACTTTTAAATCCTGGAGTCACTACCCTTATGTGAGTGGTGGGTGATTCACAGAATCAGGCGGGGCTCCAAGAAAAGTGAGCAGACCATCAAGGATCCTTCTTACTTTAACTAATGTGATTCCAGTTATAGTGTTGACCAGGCCTGGGTATACAATTATAAAAAGGGGAATGAGGAGGTACGCATTGTCAGAGAAGAGAGCAGTCAGCCAATAGTAGTCAAACAATGGCTAATTTGTAGGTATGTCTTGATTATTGAGGAGATGAAAAAGATGGTAGTGGGGAAAGCATAATTACAAGAAAAAAGTAAACAGCAGTAACCCTGCTTTGGTTACTTAAATACAGAATGAGTACTGGCTGACTTCCAAAAGAACACCAGTTGTTTAACCACATTACTCAGAGTAAATACTAGGTAGATAGTATTAGATAATGTTATCAAAAAAGTCATCCAATCCCTTTCAACAAAATTTTCAGACATGGCATCTGACAGTAACTTATAGGAACGCAAGGAATGTTGTAACCACTCTGGAACTCAGTGTTTTTGTCTTCTATCGTTTTTCTGTGCATCACCCTAGGGTGAACATGTTGCACAAAGTGATCACTCCCTCATCCTCACATGAAACCTGCACAACACCTTTAAAAGGAAAGCCTGGGAACTTAAATTCCTAACTCTGCTAGACACCAAAAATCATGGACTTGATAAAGACAATAGATTTATGGTTCCTTACAACAATCTGTAACTCACTAACCTTCCTTTTTCCTATGACTGTAGATGTGTTAACTGCCTGCTTCACCTTGAATGGTCTCTTGCAACATATGTTAACTCCTTACTGTTCCACCTTGAATTTTAGCATGACACTCTTGAGTACCTTTCCCAGACCTGAAGAAAAGCTCTGAATAAGCCTAAAAGCATGTCTCTTTCACCAACAGAAGTTGATTCAATAAAAGATATTACCTCACCGCATTGTCTCAGGAATGTAAGGAAACATTAAAAGTTTCCCTTTCTCCGTTTTACATCTTTATTGCTTTTTATTTAAATAAATCCATCTAACTCAGTGGTGGGCAGCCTGCGGGCTGCATGTGGCCCATCAGGGTAATCTGCTGGCGGGCTGCGAGACAGTTTGTTTACATTGACTGTGTGCAGGTGCGGGCCCCCCGCAGCTCCCAGTGGCCACGGTTTGTCACTTCCGGGCAATGGGAGCTGTGAGAAGCTGCGCAGGCCTCAAGGATGTGCTGGCCGCCGCTTCCCGCAGCTCCCATTGGCCAGGAACGGCGAACCGCAGCCACTGGAAGCTGCGGGGGGCTGTGCCTGCAGACAGTCAACGTCAGCAAAATGTCTTGCGGCCCGCAATCAGATTATCCTGATGGGCTGCAGGTTGCCCACCACTGATCTAACTCATTCTGTTCCTCTATTTCCTTTCTTTCTCCATTCCTCTTTAGGGTATTCTCTTATCCTGCCATTTTTGATTTTTTTTTTTAAAGTTATCTCCTTGACTCTCATTCTTTTTCTATAATAATCTCCATTCACCTGCTCTATTACCTACAACTTTACTCAATATTCTCTGCCTCTCTTATCCTTTCTCTTTTGCTGCTCTTCTAGCCTGTCTCTTTCACTCCTACTTTTTTCCTTCTCCTGTTTTCTGTGAACCCCTCCCCCTCTTCAGTTCCCCTCAGTTGGATGGGATGTCTCTCTCTTGCCTTGCCTTGATCTTAATTGGAGTATTAAAACCATGAGGTCAGTGGTCCAGCTGTTTTCTTGAGGCAGTCAGCTATCTCTACTGTTGGTGTCTCCAGTGTTCCTCTTTTGAGACACGAAGGTGAGAGCACAAGTAACAGCTCCCTTTGGTAATGGGAGGCCAGAGAAAGAGAAGGATGTTGATTGGTGTGCCATTCAAGTCATTTGTGACAGACACAGGGCAGGAAGTTAGTGGGACATGGCCAAATTGAAAAACACATTTTGAAAATAGTTTTAAAGCAGTTTTTGGGTCAGTAACTTATCCTAAATTTCAGTTTTTATAATCAGTTTCCTATTTTAAAACTACTTCTCACCTGTGGGGAAATTGGTTTTTACAAAGAACAAACAAAATTGTTGTTAAATCCACAAATTAAATCCATTACAAAAATAACATTTCTCACCTAGTTTTTCAGTTATAGTGTTCTAAGGTGTTACCTATAATATTAATTGATAGAAATAATAAAATTTAGACAAATGGGAGGGGGAAAGATGGATTGAGCTATCACTGGTGGAGTAGGAATAGAAACTATAGAAAGTTGTTGTGTGGGGCAGATCCCATTCAATGGGTATGATCATTCCAGATAAAGCAATACAGTAGAATCTCAAAGTTACAAACACCAAAGTTATGAACCGACCAGTCAACCACACACCTCATTTGGAATTGGAAGTACACAATCGGACAGCAGAGATACACTTCCACGAAAGCAAATACAGTACAGAACTGTATTAAAGGTAAACTGCTAAAAAAATAAAGGCAAAGCAGCATTTTTCTTCTCCATAGTAAAGTTTCAAAGCTGTATTAAGTCAATATTCAGTTGTAAACTTTTGAAAGAACAACCATAACATTTTGTTCAGAGTTATGAACACTTTGTTCAGAGTTACAAACAACCTCCATTCCTGAGGTGTTTGTAACTCCGAGATTCTACTTTATTTGTTTTGATGTTTTTTCTTGAAAAGTACAAGAACAATACTGTGAAGGTGAGCTTCAGTTTGCTAATAAATACATTACAAAGTGCATTTGGTACTTAGAGTTCACCTGGTCTAAATATAAAATTTAATATAATTATAAATATAATAAAATTTTCTCAATTTAACTAAAGATATGATGTTAAGCTGGTGCAATTTGGTGTACAGGAAAAATCTAAACCAAAGTAAGACAGGTTTAAATTAATATCAGTGTCCACATATTAAGTTCCACCAGTTGAGCTGAATTGGTTTAACGTAGCACTTTTAGTAAAACTGGTGCAATTTTGTGTGTAGATTAGGTCGTCGATACGTAAGAAGTGCTGACATGTGCAAAGCTAAGATAGCAGCTTTCAACACTTGGATTCATGCAATAGAAGTGTGGTTTCTAGCCTGACATAAGGTCACTGCAGCCTAGGCATCTATTAATAGCTGAGAGATTCAAATGTGGAACCTGCTTACAAACTTTGTCTGCCATCTGCTTTGCTCAGATAAAATTTTGTAGTTACTATCTATGAAAGACACAAATATTGGTATTATGTTCCTCAGTTTTTGTGATTTGATTGCCTGTGTTCTGAACTTCTACTCAAGACATATTGACTTAGAAGAAAGCTAAGACTGCATTAGAAAGCAAAGTACATGATGATTTATTTATTGTAGTATAAATCTGTCTAGTTCACCATGTAGTGCACTCTTTAAAAGGGTTAATGAAAACCGAAAGATAAGAGACTGATGTGGTAAGGGTGTATAAATGCTTCAGTAAAGCTTGTATTTAAGATTGTAATCTATTTCTTGCAGCTACTACAAAAACAATTTTATATTAGATGTCTGTAAACAAGGAAGCTTGCATCTAGCATGACATTTAGGTGCTGGTGTGTGTGTCAAGTAGCTTGCTGAGTTTTGAGATGTTACAGAAAATGTTAGGTTAAAATTTATAAATTGCTGTACAAACCTTTTCATATCCATGCCATTTTCAGCATTTCTGATCTCCTTTATTACATAATGTTGTCATAGCCACTGCATTTGTAGTTCTGATAATACATCTTGGACATTAGAAATGATCTATACCAGGGTTTGAAAATTTACTTGGACACCTACTTGTGAGAGGATTAACCCTGCTATCTAGAGCAAGATTTCCCAAACTTTAAGAGCCAGCGACCTGCTTTCAGACTAAAATGTTTTATGACCCTCTCTTCTAAGATGTCTAACCATGAGCAAGTAAAATTTCATAACTGTATCAGAAATAACTAATAATGAAGTTTTGAAAAGAAAACTTTAATTATAAAAGGTTTACAAGAATTTAAATACACTCCCGACTAAGTGTTATGGATGAGCCTGTCTTGTTGATGAAAACTGTCCCGTCCAAAGTTGAAGGGGGGGGGGGGGGGGTGGAAGAGGGTGGAACACTTAGGTCCCTTTCAATTGACAGGCGACT